TTTGAATGGCCATATCTCCGTAACGGCGCGGCGAATCCGCACCAAATTTGGGGGATCCCTTCAGCTCGAGGAACCCTCTCGAACGCGAATCGAGTTTACGTCTAGAGGCCCGCTTTCGAATGAGACCACCCCCGCGTGGATAGCCCCCGGGGTTCGGGAGTTACGGGTGGTTAAATGCGCGGTCCAGCGCCGACCGATCAAGCGATCCCGGGGTGCTACCGACGCGTGGAGGGTGGCGATTGAGAGGGCTCCTCGAGCTGAAGGGATCCCCCGAATTTGGTGGACCAGTTCCAAGGGAACATACACGTTACTTTCAAAGGTCATTAAAGTGCACGAGACGTGAATTTATATTTATTTACAGAGGTATATTATGTCAAACTTCACACTTCTCTAGTAAGTTTCGTCTGTGTGTGAAGACAGTAGCGCAAATCCGTGAATGAATGAATGGAATTGAATTGAATTAAAGTTGAATAAACGTAAACTTTACTGTTCAGTGCACTGATGTCAGACTCATTTTGGATAATAAAGTTTATTGTTAAATGCCCTGCCTCCATTATGTATCTCTGTCACGTCATTATAAGTGTTTGATCACCACATTTGAGAGATCATTGCAAAAAATGTGTTTATGCATATATATATTCTGTTTATGTATATACTGTATTCTATATATAGTACCAGTCAAATGTGTGGACACACGAATGGGAAAGTGTCCAAACTTTTGACTGGTACTGTACTATAATATACACAAAGAATACCGGCCGATATATCGATATCGGCCTTTTTTTACTCCCTAATATCGGTATCCGTATCGGCCCCAAAAAACCCATATTGGTCGGGCTCTGCTTAAAACATCTTTGCCATTTTTATAAAGACATTACAAATTTTCTCGTTATGCTAAGTTATGCATACATTTATGTATGGATACTCCTAGTTTCCTTCAATTAATAAAATGTTTTGAAAACTAAACTGTCATCGCAGAGGAAAACTATTAGCCATTTTAGGGTAATGTGGCATCTTATGCTGTAAAAACTTCGTGAACACCCTCCAAACAGGACATGAGTGACCGGTCCACTCAGATGGTCTATAATGCCTTATCAATGAGAACTTCTTGCACATTATGAAGTACAATCAAAAACACAAACACCCTGAATGAAATCCACTTAGTAGCTGCAGTCAAAACGCATACATTGTGAGAAAGTGTTTTCATTCTGAGACGTACCTGGGTTCCTCTCAATGCGGGCGTTGTGTCTGCCACCCCATTTCTTTATGATCCACTCCCTGTAGTCGATGACTTCCTGGGTGACTTTAATTATGCGGCCCAAAGTGCTGAGGCGACAAGATAAGTGGCAAATTAAATAGAGTTTGAGAGAATTAGGGTGAAGGTGCTTGAATGCAGATGAGATCTGTACCTGTCACTGTCTTTGTTTGGGTAAGAACGTGCAAGAGGTGAGACGGCGTGACCCAGTATTATATAGGCGTAGTCAAAAGCCTCCTTCACCTGCATGGCACCGTAAGAGCTTCTGCCCACATCATTACCTAAACAGTCACACAAAAGAAGAAAAATATAGTAACAGAACAAAAAATGTTTCACTTAAATTTTTTATGGTTCTTGTGCAATTCCGTGGTTTATTTTCATGTAGCATCAATATTTTGATAAATATTTAGGTCAGGTAAATTTTAGAACTTCTATCATTAATTATAAAACATTGGTTTAGTACACAAGTTTTTGTACTAATTTTGCATGTTTTCTTTTTTCTTTTAAAGATATTTTGCAAGGATGGAAGTTTCTGTAACATTCTGTAATATTCTAGTGCTTTCTGGAACATTCTAGAACATTGTAGGTCTAGTCATAAAAGACAAAAATCATACAGTGTACACTCACTTTTGGATAGCTGTTTATGCTAAACTGTTGTTGTTAGCTCAGTATTATGCATGTACCATGTCATTTTTATGCAAGAGTAAAAACAGATTAGCTTGTGTAAGTTGTCAACATATTTTAGTTTTCATGAGCACTATTAATGATAGTGCAATTAATTAATGCTTAATGATTTTCATGTGACATTTTATAAAGAAACATTTAAAATAATAGTGAAATAAAACTTTTATAAAAATTTGTTTCACAGTGTAATGAATACAATTCTTCAATACTGAAAGTAATTTACTGAAAGTTGTTTCTTTCATCAAACTACTTTCATTGCCTTAAAGCACATAACAGCAACACCAAACATCTCATTTTCTACAACAATTTCAAACGTGTTCAATGGCTCGGTTCCAAAACCTAGTGAGCGGCCTACCTAGACAGCATCTCAAGTTATCATAGGCAAAGTTAATGACACAAAGTCTGTCCTAAAACACACGCAGTTGCCTTTTAAGATATCTTGTTTTGGCCAAATTTGGATTCTTGGAAAAAGCAATTCAAGAATGTATTGTGGAGAGCATAGCGACCAAAGAAGTTGAAAGAATGTAAATTTTATTCCATACCGTATAGGTTTTCCCAAACTATGAATTAAATCATAAAAATGTAAACATGTAAATGAATGAATAAAAACAAATCGAAATATATACCTTTCTATAAATATATTCTAAATAATAATACTACAAAATAATAAAATATATATTTATTTCTTGCATGTCATGAGACCATCAACCAACATTAACAACTGTGAACATGCATTGTTAAATTACTGACATATTCTCAGGGTGGACTTAAAGTAATATTTTAGGGGTTTGGCTGCCAAAAAAAAGTTTGGGAATCTCTGCCATAAAATATTAAAATTGTGTGTAAATTATGTATTTTTATGCTTTAGATAATTAATGTGTTACCTTAGTAACATCCTAACACCAAACTGTATTGAAAGCAATTGAGAGTCGAGTCTTTATGTGAGGAATTAGTGAAATTGGTAATTTATGAGGTTCCAACTCAGTTAGGATGCTGCCTCAGAAACTAGCTGCCAATGTAGGCAGTAGACAGCAAGCAGCTCACTAGGGTTTGCGTTATTGAAACCAATTTTAGATAAATGGCTTGAAACACACCTGGAAGAAGAGGGTCCTCAATACAGAGCATGGAGGGCCTGTAGCCATTACTCATGGCCTTCATTATGTCCTCTTTAGCCATGTAAGCGCCGCCGTTCTTTATCCTGATGCCTGTCTTCAGGTAGTTGAAGTGTCTTCCATACAGCTCGAAGAACTCGATGAGCAGAATGCCAAGGTTCATGTTGGGAGTCCTAGCATCAATTCTTGGGTGCAACTGTGGGTGTAAGTCAAAAAAAAAAAAAAAACAGCAGGCAAGTCTCTTTATTTGTTTGGTAGAGTCATTTATGAAATGAGCATGACTGACAGTCATACAAAGGTAGTAAAATATGCTTGACAAGTAATGACAGATCTCTAAATGAGACTAGACCAAGTTATTTTTATTATGAAACACTCTTCGTCTGCATGTTGTGACAGTTTTCAGACCGGCTGCTAATGTTGCACCTGTAAGAAGCTGATGACCATCAGGATGAGACTGTAGGAGCTGATTCCTCCAGTGAAGACTTCGTTGAGGTCTCGCTGCAGCAGGAACTGTTTCAGCACTAAGATTAAATAAGGCAGCACGGTATACTTCTGTGTGGGAGAAAAAAAAGAAGCTATTTTAGACTTTAGTACATCAAAAAAGACGCCATTTACACCAGGCATTAATAAGCATTTCAAAAGCGACTCATTTAACACTTGAAGGATCCCTACAAGGTTCGCAAAGGGTCTTTTTATGACAACAGTGTCTCATTACACATTTACATCAGGAATATCTGTTTTGTGAAGTCTTGCACATGGATGTGCCGAAAACATGGGGGTTTCATACATGATTGTCTTTCACTGTAGATAAAATCCAGCTGTTCAGAAGCAGCAGAGATATTCACATGAGGTAAAGTGTTATGATAACTGGTGACTGGGCCAATAAATCTAACATTCCTCCACCATGCAAGATTGACATCGTCTTAAAGGTTTTGGTTGGGTGGCATTCACTATCGGAGTGTTTCAAGTCATCCTGGGAAGTTTGCATTTCTCAATTATGTTTGCATTTTCAATTACGATGTCTATGTTCAAGTCACTTTAGTCTGAGCAAGATAAAAGCAAAAACAAACAAGATTTAACTTCACAATTTTAACTCAAAAGGAGTTGACCAAAAAGTATGAGAATCCCAGCTGTAAAGTATACAAATAGTTAAATCTAATAAAAATAGGACTGTATCACCCATTATTTGCGTGAGCTATGTATTATGTTTATAAGATTATTAAGGTGTTAACTTAGCAACATGCTAACACCAAACAATATTGAAATCAATTGCGAGTTGAGTCTCAGTGTGCTTCACATTTGTCAACAGTGAGGTTCCAATTCACTTAGGATGCTGCAGATGTCTATGTAGGCAGTAGACAACAAGAAGCTCACTAGTTCATATTTACAAGTTGGGAAGTCGTAATTACGATGTCAGGTGTCACATTCGTCACTTTGGTAAGAATTAGGGATGTAACGGTATGAACATTTCTTATCACGATTATAGTGACCAAAATTATCACGGTTATCAGTATTATCGCGGTATTGTTCAAATGTGCTGGAGATGTTCAAAAAGTACAGACACATAAATCACTTCACCAAGTTTCATATTTAAAAATCAACAAACAACAAATAAAATGACTTTTTGTTTGCATAATCACTAAAACAATAACATTACCAATGATGTTCGGATTTTAAATGACAACTTGACTGACAACAGTTTAATAGCATGTTGAAATATCTAATGTAAATGTTCAAATAAAGCTTTGAAAAAGTTTAATAAAAAGGTAAACCTCAAATTTCAGCCTTTAAAGAAAAGATATGTCAAAATGATCATTGATTAATAAATGATTATATGTATTTTATCTGCTCCATAAATAATTCTAGATAACTTATCTGAATTGTTTAAATGTGTAGAATCCACATAAGCTTGTTTTTCATCAACTGGTCAATATTTACAGCAGGGCATGCAAATTCAGTTCGTTTTTGGCTAGTCAGAAACTGCACACAGGCTGAATGTAAATATAAGTCTCTGTAAATCCACTCGCTGACAGCAGGTGGCGCTTGTACATTCATATAATTAATTAATTCATATATATATTCATTTGTATAATTCCCTTAGCACTCTTTTAAAACCTCCCAGCTTTTCCGCCCTGTTTTCACTCAAAACGAAACTACTCTGCGCACTGTGCGCACGTGAGACTGTTACTTAAAACTGTGCTTTATGCTGGACAGTATTTATTTATTGCGAGTTGTTCAAATCGCAGTAATCTAATACGGTTTTAATGATAATTAAAAGATGAAACGGTAATACTAACCGTGGGGAATTTTATCATGATTTATCATCAAACCGGTAATCATTGGATGGTGATGTACATTTTCTACTTTAAAAAACAAAATCAGCAAGATTTTTTTTTTAACTCCACTTCTACAAAAAAGCTTCTGTTTCCCCACTAGTAATTTAATTTGTTCATGTGAGTTCAGACTCAAATACCATCTTTCCGATATGAATTGAATGCCCCATAATAATTGCATGGATTATTTAATATTTGTATGAATATTAGGACTGTAAGTCCAGCATCGATCGATTCGGTCTTAAACAATTTCTGTAGCTCACAGAATCAAAATAATTTAAAACATAAGTACTGGACACTACCAGGCTAAAACAGCACCTTATCTTTGCGTTTGCCAGCACATTTTGAGAATCAGAGGCTGTTCTCTGTAATCCTTCAAAGAAAATGCCATATTGCGACATTATCTCCCACGCACTGATTTTTCACAAAAAGTTAAAAATGACTATTTAAAATATTTAGTCAAATATTGGACTGACTGTCCCAATCACTAAATAAATAATAATAATAATAATAATAATAATAATAATAATAGACAGCTATTCATTAATTTTGTACCAACAATAATCGTGGAAATTTCAAAATTCATTTGGCTCAAACATCTGAGGAAGCATGTGGCCCCATCAGTTTGAATGGATATGACGTCTCTGACCCAAAGCATGTGATTTTTGCATTTGTGTGGTTTCTATTGTTGCTACATTTTTTTTTTGTAAATGTAGAACATATTTTAGTACAAAAGGTATTGGTAAAATCACAGATTTCACACATCAATCTGTGTGCATGCACGTTTAGTCAATCAGACCCTTTGTCCCTAAACTGTGTATTAAGGAAAAACCTCCTCTGACAGATGCACAGATGAGAGCAGTCACAGAGGAGTACAGCAGGTATGCACATGGAAATGAGCTTGGCAGAAGAGCATTAAGTCAGCAGGTCATCTCCTTATTCAAACATCTGCACTGAAAGCTTGCTGACAGATGTTGACAGAAGCAGTGCTGCAACCTCCTCTCTTTAGTCGAACACTGACACTTTAAGCCTGACATCAAATCAGCAACCACAGAGCAAATCTAGGACACATAGTGCATGTAAATACAAGCAGGGTTCAAAATGTACTTCCTGTGCAATGTACTGTAGCAATAAGTAACACTGCAACGCACATTGGGCCTCACTCATGAAACACCAGCAGAAAGAATTTGTGTAAATCGTTCGTAAAGTCGTTCTGCGTAAACATTCGAATTCATGAAAATGTTAGTATTTTCAAAATGTTAACGTTAGTTGGTAGGAAAGAAATTTACACCTGCTCCCTACCACGTGTACATGGTGCGTAAAACGTTCTGTGTTCATTTAGGCAAACTGATGACACTGAATTTGATGCACTGCCATTATAATATTTTACAAGCTCGTTGGGCCGGAATTTTTTACTTTTTTTTTGTAGCTGATAGAGTTGATAAACTGTTTAGCTTTGGGTAAAACGCAGCGCTTGTCACTGTCACTTTTTACCCAGCCGTCCAATCAATGGAGGAGGGGCGGGACAAATACTACACCGACCAATCATACTACTTGTACAACAACTGAACAACAATAGATATTGCTGGTTACTGCATTTTTATATTCAGTAATATTCTTCAAAATGAGATACTAGTAATACGTTACTGCCGTGAATATTTCAAATCATAGCAACCAAAGAGTCTCAGCTAGAAAAACACTGTGCCACCAAAGCGTTCTCCAGCACCACCAGCTGGCCGTTTTAAGAAGAGCGCCGGACAGTTTTTCAGCTGGCTAAAAACACTTTGGTGGACACACGTTATTGAATATTTATTGTTAGGCATATGGCCTATTAGTGTTTTTTGCATTTATGCAATATACTGGAGCCAAACCTGAGAAAGTAGACCAGAATATTCCACTGCGTTCCTGGACACGCAATTTACGTAGCTGTAATTCATAGGCGGGGATTATGCTAATTGTGAATGAGCGTGCACGAGCGCCCTATTTACGAATGATTGGAATTCATTAACATACACGTTTAACTATCAAATCTGATGTGTACGAAGTGTTTGTGAATTCGGAGGAGTTTTCGGGAAGGTCCGTTTTACGCGCAAATTACTCAGAATTTACTCCTATATTTACGAATGTTTCATGAATGAGGCCCAATGCCCATACAATGTTTTCACAAGAAAATGTAGAAAGATTTATGCAAAAATTCAACCATAACTCTGTTGGGAATTGCCTACATGAGGTGAAAGAGCTGAAGACTTTGCTTTTGTTCACTGAAACACATCATATATGTAAGATTAATCTGCTATAGTCACGACATAAAATTACAATTTACATTTACAAAGAAAAGGAAGCATGCAAAGTTGAACTAAATTATATTAGTCCCAATGTGTCATTAGGGCTGTAATTACGCCATTGTCTGTTTCAGCTTGATATGTTCTCATCTTTTTGCAAATCATAGGCAACTAAAATATCACTTTTACAGAGAAAAAATGCTTCAGGCTATATGGCATTTCAGTGAAAGTAAAATGGACAAAAATATTGAATATGACATGACTAAATTGTACTAGAACTAAAAATAAAATTTATTTGACCAAAAAATACAGTAAAGAAATTATATTGTGAAATATTACAATTTAAAAAGAACTGTTTTCTGTTTGAATATTAAAATGTAATTTATTCCTCTGATGGAAAAGTTGAATTTTCAGCATCATTGCTCCAGTTTTCAGTGTCACATGATCCTTCAGAAATGTGTGTGTGGGGTTTTTTTTGAGCACCAAATCAGCTTACTAGAATAATTTGGTTATCATCAATATTGAAAACAGTTGTGCTGCTAATGTTTTTGTGGAAAACGTGACTTTGTTCAGGATTAACAAAGCATGTAATAGAAATCTCAAGATGAACTTGTAAATACTCAATTGTCTGCTACAGTTTGACATGCTGTCACTTTGCAAATAATGTCAATTAAAATGTTATTTTTAGAGACTAAAACAAAGTGATATGCTATTTTAGCAAGTAAAATGGACTTTAAAATGTCCTTTAAATGTAGTAATTTATCAAAATTAGAAATACTACAACTAAAACAAACAAAAAAATGGACAAACGAGCACTACAATAAATACAAGCAAGCAAACAATATTCAGTTGAAGCCACTTTTGAAACTATACATTAGTGTAGTTTTACAAATTTGTTAAATTAGAATTTCAAAATATGCTAAAACTGTTTTTACCTTCACATATTCTTTGATGAAGCTAGCAGCTTTGATGCCCGTCTCCACGTTAAAACTAATGTCCACTTTCACCTCGGTCTCCTGATCTGTCAGTTTGATGATTGGTACCTTCAAAATTCAAAGATATAACACAATTAATGGCTAAGAAACCCCCAAATGTTACAAATTGAAGCAACATTCCAAAGACATTCTTGGCAAAAACAAAAAAGCAACAACCACTGAATATGAAACAGTTTAAGTGTGGTTGATGTTAAATCAACAGTGGGAAAACATACCGTAGCTTTGTCCAAAACTTTGATGGAATATGGTTCTGCCACATTGTGTTTTCTGAGCGCTTGCTCCAACTGCTGCAGGGGAGGTTTCTCCCATTTCCCAAACACCACCAGGTCAATGTCACTACAGTGTAAAAGAATCAGCCAGATTCAGGCCTACTGACTAACAGTAACACAAGGAAAATCTTTCAGGCTTTAGAGACCAATTATTTTGGACTGTACAAGTTTTCATAAACTACAGATCTAGGATCATTTGTGCCATTCTCACATTTGGAGTTAGCAAACAGCAATTGATCATAAAACGTCTGTTTAGTTACTAAAAGACAGCTAAGAGCCAAAAAAGGCTAGCAGGCTATGGTTATGATAAAGATGAAGCACGTGATCTGATCCCACCAGTCTGTGAGTCATCTAACTGTGAATAGTGTTATGTCTGTACAGCAACAACGGATCGTGAGAGCAACATCACGCATGTTGAGATCTGCTAACAATCCTGTTCAAAAATGCACTGCTGTGTTGTCACCTGATGTGCAAGATCAAACACACATTCATTTACCTGGTTGGGAGAAAGAGTCCAGTGCTAAAGCTGCCAAATATCTGGACCTAAAGTACATAAAAGTAAAAACAAATACATTCGTATTTTTTAATTCTAATTTATTATGCTAATAATAGCTCAATTGCATAGACATCAGCTCTTAATCTTACATCAGCGGTTGGCCACAACTCCTTGATGACCGACTCTATCCTGTCCACCACCTCCTGTCTCATGGTGGTCTCCTGAGGACGAGGAGACATGAAATTGTAGAAGTCCATGATTTCTTCATGCAACCTTGGAAGAAATGAAAAAGAAAATTATGGAAAGGCAGCTGGTACAATTTAAGAGGCCATTTTTGCAGATTCATCACAACAACTCAAAGCAAGAATCTTAACATGTACACGACCTGTACAATAAATACACTTGGGCTACAGGACTAAGAACCTGACTGGTTAAATGTTAACAAAATTCACATTCAGATCTGGCTCCATTCTTGTATAGAAACAGCCACGTTTCACAATCCGATCAATTCCCCATGGAGAAAATCAACTGCCGGAAGTATTTAAAGTTTGAAACATGGAAAAGATACTCCAGATTACAAAACAATGAAGTAAAAATCACCATTAACAAATATATGTGAAAATCCCATTATGTAGGGAAAGCATGATCATGAAAAACATGATCATGATGATGGTTTAATGTGGCTGGCAAATTTAAATATGATTTTTTTAATTAATATGCGTTATATCGTAAAAATTATTATTCAACCTTTACATTTGGTCCTCCCAATTGTGAATATTTGGTAACATCCTTGATGAGCTGACTAGACTTTAATTTTTGTTTTGAATCAGATTTTTACAATTATATTTCATAGAAAAAAATACACATACTTATCACGACTTGTAGTCTGTCCTACACCAATGCCTCTAAATAAAACTTCAAGCTAATTTACAGACTTAAAAGTTCTTACTATTTTACTCAGAAATACTCAACAGCTGGAAATACCAAGAAAACCAATGTCCACCAATCTTAAACACCTAAACAGCATTTTGCACCTATGAGTCTATGACAGAGAAATGCTGTCTAGTAGGACTACATCAGCCACTCAATAGGTTTTTAGACACAGTCACTGCCTCATTCGGTTCCAGATTCTTTCATGGAAAAATTCCAGAGGTCTGCAACCATCCACCACAATTATAACAAGTTCATGCAACAGATTCGTCCCTTCTTACAAGCCTACAATTGCTGGGTTACTAAGGACTAAAGCATGCATTGTATTAAGTGTCCAGTGTCATACTCATAAATCAGCAAACACCAAAACCCTGAACATAGCCGACAGCCAACATTAATGGACAGGCGATGACAACAAATGTAACAAAACGGTTAGTAAAAAGCTGTTGTCAGACATAAGCAAACAACAACTCACTTGCCGTATTTGTAAAGTCTACTTCGAAAAGTGTAGTTGATAAGAACTTAATTAAAAAAAATTAATTCACTCAGGTTCGAACAGGTTCAGGTTTAGTGATAAGTCGCGTCGTCCCTGACATGGCATATATAGAGTGCATTAACGCCCACCCACTCTTCCAGCTGCATTGGTTACAGAAGCATCTCTCCTTTTATCCTTTTACTAAAAATCATAAAAAGTTATATAAACCATGAACCATAGCAGAAAAATATTTGAAAATCAGAGAAAAAGTACAAGACTGCGTGCTGAATGGCTTTAATGCGGGAAAGAACTATCCCATTAAGCATTGCGAATAACAATTGAATTAAAAAGAGAAATATAAATATTGATTTAAACACTTGATTATCCATATGCAAACGATACATTTTATGTTCACTGCAAATGCAGCAAGTTATAAATGACTGTTTATAAACTGCATATCTTGCAGTGAACGTAATGTATTGTTTCTATATGTATAATCAAGTGTTTAAATCAATAGTTTTATATATAAAATATGATATGATTTTATATGAAAGCGTAGGGAAGTTGACTATCATTCGCAGTGTTTTTCAAAAATTCTATGCGCTACAAATTTCTTTTGGCGCAATTGTCTCAGTTCTCTGATTGGTTGAGATTTCTCTGCTGAATCATGGGTAATGTAGCTTTTCCACCAAAAGTGTCACTGTTGAACATGATTATTTAATGGAGTGGTAAATCAACTATTTTCAAAGGCTTGATTGTGTTTATGGGGTGCAGTGTAACATGTGTTCATGCTTTGTAAAAAAAACAAAAAAACAACAACATTATTTTCACATATTCTACCTTTATTCTACAATGCTGTTTCTGTTCTCCTAAAAACAGTCTGTTCATTTCCTGAAATACGCAATGGGCTCGGATAGGTTAGCTGGCCCAGTGTGTTGTGATTCGCGAACTGCCTAATGCACGTTGTCCGGAAATGTCACACCCCCTTACCATTATGGATAGTTGCGTGTTCCCGGGGTTTATATACATTTTAGGGTTAGTGATGTCACAAACCCAGGAAAAAGCTTGTTGTAGTCCCTACCAGCTAGGGATGGGCGGTATCTTATCATTTGCGATATACCGGTAAAAATTCTCCCCACGATAAGAATTAAGTCTTCCCGCGATAATAATGATAAAGTCTAGTTGTTGACATATTTCTGTGTGAGACTGCGGAGCGACATTGAGGAAGGTGGACGTGAAATTGAGGAGGAATAGCCTATATCGCTAAATGAGCTCAAGCTCCTTTTACAATCTGTAACTGGTTTGGTTAGGGCTGTACAGTGCACAAAAAAATTGGTCTGAATAAATGTACTACAGTAGCACGTGTGCGATACAGTTTTGCATGTGTATGAGCCTGTTTACAAACCTGTTGTCCAACAAAGATATAATTTATTGACATGCTTTTTCTCCAAATTAACTTAACATAGTCGAGTGTTTGAAATACTTCTTTTTGTGACCAGACGTGGTTTCATATTACAAAATGACAGTATTATATACAGTGATAAAGGCCATGTTGATTAACATTGCATTATAAATATACTTTCCTTACAAAAAATACCCAAGATTGAAGAACACAGATAAACCATATATTTTGTGCAATCGTATGTTTATTTTCCTCAAGTTTCATCAGTTAAAATGTCTCTATCGCCGTTGTGCGTTTTATTCAGCGATAACTGGATACCTTCCTGGAGCATCGTCAGTAGTATTTCTTCTGCTATGGATATGTGGAGTTTCTGTGCAAGAGTGCCTTCCGGCTTCCAGTATGAATTAAACAGTCTTTACATTACGTGTGTACTCAATGCTCACAACACCCTATTTTGGGTAAAAATAGGAAGGATAATACTTTTCTCTAAAGAAACAGGATACCCTGAATTATCGTCAACGCAATAAACGCAATAAATATCGTGATATATTTTAAAGCACATATCGTCCATCCCTACTACCAGCCTTTTTTTGTAGTTTTTGTAGTCCGATTTCTTTAAAAGAAAATATCTCCCTTT